CCCCGGCAGCGGCCGGCCCGACGAGTCCCCGGCCTTGCAGTCGCCCCAGGTGCAGGGGTAGCAGTACAGGGAGTAGGAGTCCGGCGAGGGGGAGCAGCTCCCGCTCCGTGGGCCCGACCTGCCGGGGGGAAAGTGAGAGCTACCGGGGGGCCTGGCACAGCACAGCCAGGGCCCCGGGGGCTGCCTCGGCTGGGAGGGGGGGCGTCCTGGCAGGATGGCAGAGAGGCCGAGTCGCAGGCAGGGTCGATTTGCACCTTGGAGACGAACCGCAGCGGCTGCGCAGCACAACGCAGACCACGGTGTCGCGGCACCGGACCGCGGGGCGTCCGTTTGCGACTCTCCCGGCGTCGCAGACGCCCTCCCCTGCTCGCGAGGCCCCGCTGCCGTCTACCTGGGACGGACGGACGAGCCCCGAGCCCACGTCGGACGCCAAAAACCCGTGGGCTGGGGGAAGACGCCTCGACCGCCCTGGACACCCCCTCGCTGAGCTCAGGGCGGCTGGCCTGAGACGGAAACCCTTCCACCACTGACTCGAACCAGACCTGGGGGCACGTCCACAGGCCGGGCTGTGTTCGGCACGGTTTAAACAGGGACGACGGCTTCTTAGCCCGTTACCTGGCTGAGCTTCGCCGGCCACTTTGTGCCTATGGGTTTATCGCTTGCTTGTTTCTCTCTCCCAGCACTGCCTGCCCCTCGCTCCCCCTTGCTTTTACATTTACATTTCTTTCCTTATACCCTGCTTCATGCACGCGCATTCACGGCATCAGATGAAGCGCGCTTCAGCTATATCTATATACACATGTATCCCTATAGAGAAGGCAGGCAGGCAAGGAGAGGGAGAGAAAAGAAAGAGGGACAGAAGGAAAGACAAAGGAAAAAAGAGGAAGAAGAAAACAAAAGAAGAGAGAGGAAGAATCAATGGACTTGGGTTCGTCTAACGAGGTGCAGATCCACCCTGCCTTGTGCTCGACTTCAGACGACCCCAGGGACGTGCCCCGCTCTGCAGAGGGGCTGCGGCCGGCCTGGCTGGAGCCACGTCCCAGCGCCAGGGGACCGGCGCTCCATCCTGCTGGCCCGGGGCAGGGACGAACGAGCCTGCCCCGCTCCAGCCCCCTTGCTCAGCTGCCCGGGGCAGCAGAGGGTTACCCAGAGGGGCTAGGGATGTGGGTGCTGGGTGGCCTCCCCCCACGCGAGAGCCGGGCCCCTTCCGCCACCCCCCGGGACCCCGCCGTCACTCACACGTCGTGCAGCCCGGAGGAGTAGTAGGAGAGGCTGGGGCTGGGCGACTGGGCAGGCGGGAGCTTGGGGAAGCGCAGGGGCACGGGCGGGCTGGGGGCAGCGTGCAGGCGGCCGCCCCGGGGCGGCACGGGCGGCGCGTTGAGCAGGCGGCACTCCTCCTTCACCTGCCAAAGGGACGGGGGGGGGGGCAGCGAGGGAATCCCCCCAACGTGGGCCCGGGGCGAGTTGCAGGGCAAGCTGACCCTGCTGCTACCCGGGTTTTAAGCCTCTCCCCAGAGGCGCTGGGTGCTGCAGCCCAGGCTGGGGCTGGGGCTGGGCTGGGCCAATGCTCCTGCACCAACCCTGCAGGGTCCCGGCTGAAGGGTCTGGCCCCTGCGTGTGGACCCCTGAAGGGTCTGGCCCCCGCACCCAGGTCAGACCGATGCTGCGCTGGGGGCAGGAAGGGATTTGCCCCCTGGTCAGATTGGTTTGGACTGAGGGGTTTTGCAAGGTTTTTCCCTTCCTCTGTAGCAGGGCCACGGCCTGTACTCGGGCTCTCGAGCGTCTATTAACATTTCGTAGCAGCAGACATTGGGTGGGTTCCCCACGGCAGGGCCGGGTGCAATGTCTGGTGTTGTCGGGCTGACCATCGTCTTGCACGGGGTTTAGGTAATGGCTCTGGGCTGGTTTGGGCAGGGCTGATCCTGCCTCAGGCAGGGGTTGGACCAGATGTGACCTTGGGAGGGCCCTGCAGCCCTGCGGCACTGGGACTTTGATGCATCCCCAGCTGCATGGGTAGGAGCGGTGCCAGCCGATCCAGGGCAGCGATTCTTCCCCTCTGTTCAGCACTGGGGAGGCCACATCTGGAGTCCTGTGTCCAGCTGTGTGCCCCCCATGACAGAAAGGACGTGGACACATTGGACAGAGTCCAGTGGAGGGCAATGAAAATGGTTGTGGGGCTGGGAGACTGGACTGGTGAGGAGAGGCCGAGGGAAATGGGCTGATTTAGTCTGGAAAAGAGGAGACCGAGGGGGATTGAATAGCAGCCGTCACCTCCCTGCAGGGGGGCTGCAAAGAGGATGGAGCTGGGCTGGTCTCAGTGGGGGCAGATGGCAGGACAAGGAGCAATGGGCTCCAGCTGCAGCAAGGGAAGTTGAGGTTGGATATTTGGAAAAAAACTCTCACCAGGAGGGTGGTGAAGCACTGGGACAGGTGCCCAGAGAGGTGGTGGGATCTCCATCCTTGGAGGGGATGAAGCCCCAAGTAGACAAAGCCTTGTCTGGGATGATGCAGTCGAGGCTTGCACGAGACGTGACCTCCCGAGGTCCCTTCCCACCCTCGTTGTCTACCCTTTCCCGACTCTACAACCCAGGCAGGGGGCCCCAGCCCCCGGGAGTCTCTTACCGCTTCCGACTTGGGCG